AAAGGGAATATTTTGTTTCCTTTTTTAATTGTCTCATGGAAAAAATGATTCTGAATCGTTAGCTATTGGCTCTGGGAGATAGTAGGACTCTGTTTGCAAACATCAAAGACAACTTTTTTTTTTTTTTGGACTATATGGATTTTCTCTCATGGAGATGGTAGGAGTGAGATCTCATGTATTCTTGCAGCACCCAGGCCTTGTTCCTGGGGCTGAAACGGCCCTAACTCGAGAGAGAGGGAGGATGAAGATGATGCGAGTGAGAGGCCCGAGGGTGGTCTTATGCAGGGGCTTACCGTCAGAGGCAGCCAGCACTAGCAGGGGCTGGTTGGATGAAGCCGGAGCAGAGCAGGCTCACAGGAGGAAGGGAAGGAGCAAGCATCTATGCGTGTGCATGTATGTGCTTGGGTTGGCGACCGCATTTGGGCTCAACAGCACCATCCCATTTATGTGATGCTGGTGTTATAAGATTGGATGCTCGCCCCTGCTGCTGGGGGTGGAGATGGGGGAGAGTGTGTGCATGTGTGTGTATGTGTAAGGGATGAGGAGTGAGAGTGTGTGTCTGTGTGAGGAGTGAAGACTGTTAGGCTGATTGGCACTGGCCGTCTGTGGTTTGTGCCGTGGCGCCCCACGTGGGATGACAGAAAGTGCCCTCAACTGAGAGCTAGGAGCCTCCTAGAACCATCGTGAGGGCTTGGGCGCTCATTCCCTTTCTGAAGCTCAATTGCCTCACCTGTAAAACAGGTGTTAAAAGCTTCCTCACTGGGTTATTGTGAGGATGTGACCCGATGGCATATGTGAAAGTGCCTGGCTTCTCGAAGGTGTTGACCAGTGATGCCTGTTCCCTTCCTCCATGCTGGACTGACTGGGCATGGTTCAGAGCCCGCCCTGGTGCCGGTGTTGGTGGTTCTTCCTCATGCTGGGCCACACACAGTCACTGTGTGGCTGAAGAAACTGAGGCCCACGTAGGTTTTGTCACAAGGTCAAGGTCACAGAGATGGTTGGCAGCAAAGCCAAATTTTGGACGCTCCTTGCCCCAGTCCCAAGCCTTGGCTCTCTCTGCTGTACCCACTGATTCTTCTGGAACTCCCTTTGGAAAGCAGTGAAAACCTTCCAAGGAAGTAGCTGAGAAAAGCCAAAGACAAACAGATCTCCCCCCAACAAGTCACTGTTTGGCTGCTTATCTCAGTAACCAGAAGAAAAGAGTGCTGTTGTCAGCTGGAGCGAGTTCCCCCCGGCTGGATGGGGCCCAGAGTGCAGGAAGAAACCGCAGGCCAGGGAAGACCGGGAAGAGAGGAGAGTCAGAAAGAGGAGCTGGAGAGGAGGGAAGATGCGCACTTGGTGACTCAGCAGTGAGCCGTCACTCAGTGAGCTGGCCGTGGTCCTACGCTTAGGAGGCCAGGGGGAGTGAAAGGAGCGAGGGCCAGGGAATCAGGGAGACCTGGGGTCAAGCACTGCATTTGCTCCTCACAAGCTGTGCGACTTTGGGAAGGGGAGTTAGCCTCTCTGAATCTCAGTTTATCTACTGGAAAATTAGGCATAATCAGGGCCCCCCTTCCATCTCTGTCTCTCTCAGTCTGTACACTGTTGTGAGGATTAAATGATAAATGAGATAGTTTACACAACACATCCAGCATGGTTCCTGGACAGAGTAAACCTCCCTGAGTGCTGCTTCCTCCTCCTCCACCGGGTTACCTCATCCAGTTGTGAGGATTAAAGTAGATAAGGTGCTTGCTAAGCAGGTCTTAATACAGATTTGTTTCCCTTCTTGCTCTCTTAAAAAAAAAAACAGGCTCCCAATCTAGCAAAGGTTCCTCTTGAGAGGGTGAGAATGGAAGTGGGCGATAAATCGCCTCGTTTCGCTCAGTGACTGCTTCGCAGCTCTCTTCTGCTACTGCTGCACTCTCCAGTGTTCACCCGAGTGCTGGCGGATGGCTGCAGAAAAATAGACCCTTTGATGGTTTTGTCAAAGTATCTCGGGAGCCAGAGGAATGAGGTCCAAGTTAGTCATCCTTTGTGCAACTACAGTCAGGAGGTGATGTTTATCTGGCCTAGCCAGACCCTGCATTAAAATATATGGTACAGTTAGATGTCCTTGAAAAATAGGGATTGTGGGTTCTCTGTAGCCAGGGTTGGGCAAGTCTGTTCCTTTATGAGTCTGTAAGTGTTCATCAAATGCTGGAGGTGGCCAGTGAGAGAGGCTCTGGGGGCCCAAGTCATAGATGATCGTGGCCATGACGGGTGGAGAAGGGTGGAGTTATGGTGGCCTAGATTAAAGACTTGATGCCAGTGCCGCAATAGAACATTCTGGATGATGGAAACGGTCTATTTTTGTGCTCTCCAATATGGCAACCACATATCTGAGCATTTGAAAAGTGGCTAGTGTGACTGAGGATTCGAATTTTTTATTTTTTTTTAACTTAAAGTAACTTAAATGGCCACATAGGGTTAGCGGCTGCCATACGGGGTGACATAGCATTATAGAGACTGCAGTGTCCCGCGAGCAGCCACTTCCACGTGGTGGAGTCTCGCCTGGGCGTAAACTTCCAGCCGTGCCCGGGCAGCTGGATGTGACCGCAGGGCTGCAGCTCCCCTCCCGCAGGTACATTTATGCTGAGTAGATTAGGACTTTGCTCACTGGAAGGACGGAGGTAGACCTGGTGAGAATGTGGAGGGCCCAGAGGCGGGGAGGGCCCAGTGCCGGCCGCAGCTCATCACTGGACTCTGTCAGGGGCTGGGGGCTTTGGGTTCTGAGCAGTTTCAGGCAGTTCTGCCTCCGAGTCCCATGTCCACATCATTGGCCTCACTGGTCCTGTCCTCTTTGGATATCCCTAGAGCAAGATGAGTAGCTGGTGATAAAGGGAGCCAAGAGCTGTCACCAAGGGACTCATCGTCCGTCTTCCTGGACAGCATTGAGCCTGCAGCACGTGGAAGGGGTTCGGTCTCCTGTGAGCCCCTTGAGAGAGGGCCTCTGCCTGCCCTGGCTCAGTTTATGTTGGAAGAATAAATGATGGCTGGGCGCATTGGGGTTGGCAGCTGCTGGGTGAGATAGTGCTGCTTTAATGCGATTCCTTGGTCCTCCTTCACAGGAAAGGGGTCCCTGTGAGTTCACAGCAGCAGCATGCGGTGCTCGGGCATCTGGGCTCCTTGGCAAAGGGAGAAACAGCCTGGCTGGTGTCTACTGCTCTTCGGCCCTACTAGTCCGTCTGATACTGGCTTCCCTCCCCCATCTCCCCGCCCAGTAGATGTCCTCGGGCTGGACCAGTCCCTCACTTCAGATGCACAGCCCAGCCTTGGAAGGTGAAAAACAACCCCCTTTCTTCCTAGCTGATGTCAAGGAGAAAGTAAGACCCTCCGCCTCCTCTCCTGCCTCCCTCACCCCACAGCAGACCAGGTGCAGGTTACTGAAGTGAAACGTCATTCGACTAGTTGCTTGGAGGCTCAGGTCTAAATGCTGGCTCTGCCAAGAGTTCCCTCTGTGTAATGATTTTCCCTCATCTGGGCCTTGGTCTCCCAGTCTGTGAAATGGTGGGGTTGGGTGGTTTCCCGAATTGCTAACATTCCAGGATTAAAGTAGATCCAGTGAAATGTGATTATCTGAGAGGCTTAATCACTCCAGGTGGCTTTGCCATTTAAAAGAGGAGCTGGTTAGCCCGGATGAGTGTTTAATTGGCAGCCTGTGAGTGGGGGGAGCTTCCTGAAGGAGGAGGCCTTCCAAATTTCCTCACCTGCTCCCGGATGCCACAGGCTGCTCCACCTTTCAAGGACAGACAGGGACCCTCTGCCCCTCAGGAAGGAAAGAGCCCACCCTCACTCCAGGTGCTCTCAGGAGCCATCAGCCACTCAAACGGATTTCTGTCATTCCTGGGCCTCACGGAAGGGAAATTTGACTAGAGGGCAAAAGTTCAGATAAACAGAGGAATCCTGTGCCTGAAAAATAAGCCGCCTGGGAGCTTGAACTTGAGAGTGTGGTAAGGAAAGGAACCCTGGCCCAGGAGTCAGAGGGACCTGGGGTCTAGGCCTCCTGTCAGGCTGTGTGGCCGTGGGCAGGTCACGCCACCCAAGCTCTGCTTCCCTCCTGTTTAACGTGGAATCGTGACCAACCTTGCAGACCTCGGCTGTCGTGGGCACCTCGACGTGGGCTGCATCTAGCGTTTTGGGACAAACAGTATGCAAATGCAAAATGGTGGTGACAGCGTGTTCACCTTCTGCAGCTACAAATATCTGCACAGCAATAATCAAACAGCACAGCCTCAGGCTCCTCCCAGCGCCGGCGAGCATGTGCTATGAAACAGTGAGACGCTAAATCACTCCCGAGCTGTTTTAAGGATTAGGCAGAAATGTTAATGGCAACAGATGTTGGCTTGTTCCCTCCAGGAGGATTTAGGCTTCAGTGCAGAGTTTCTCTGCTGGCTTCAGCCCAAATCATGGCCACAGCCCTTTCTCTGACCTCCTGTTCAACCCAGAGAACAGAAGGGGCTCGGTTTCTGTCCTGAGGCTGAGAAGAGAATCTTGCGAGGACCTCCACAGGATAGTGATCTCCTGTAAGGTGAGCTGATTCAAACTTTAGGAGAAATGAGGAGCTGCAAATGTAGCCCAGAGCCCAGGTTTTTTGGTGGGGCTCTGTGAGCAGAGATGAAAGCACTGGGTTCTAGTGGGAGTTCAGAGATGCCTCCAGGGCTCTGCACAATGAGGCCTGGGCGGTCGAGGTAATTGCTCAAGGTCTTCCTGATCTCACATTCTAGGGGATCATGAAAATGGATGAAACAAAAACCCAGGGATTGTTCCAGAAAGTATCACGCTTTCTCCTCCAGCTCTTGCCACACATTCTTGGGGAAAAAGAGTGACTGTGTCCACATCACAGTCTGGAATCTGCAGTGTCAGAAACACTGAAATAGCAGAGCATGATGTAAGAAGGAAAAGACTTCAGGGAACTTCTGGACCCTTCTGAAGACAGTGGCTGCATCCTGCCCTTCTGAAGGCTCCAGGCCGCCTGCACTCACCTTTGAATGGGGACTGGGCTCGAGTCACCAGGAAGAGGCTCTTGCTTTTCCTGCTTTGCCGCCCCCGGCGGGCGTGGTAGCCCAGCGAGTTGCAGCGGCCCTCCCGGCAGCTCAGGCACAGGCCCTGGCTGAAGCTGGCCATGTCCCTGCACTGGTAGGCCATGCTCTGCATGCCGGCGTGCAGCAAGGAGTCGATGAAGAGATGCACTGACCGCTCGTGGGCGCATTTGACGGCCTTGGTGATGGCTGAAACACAGCGCGAGAAGGATGTTATTACCCCCTTTCTTCACCCAAAGGCTCACCCCGTTCCTCAGTGCAGAGCAGCAGCACATTAGGAAGGAGAGAAGGGCTTGCTAAGGTTGGCCCACTGTCTGCAGTGGATGTGATAACTGGCTGAAAACTACACAAAGAGTAGACCCTTCGCAGTCACTTAGCGTAGAGGTGTAATCTCAGGCTCCAAGGGGCTGTGAGGGAGCCCTGCTATTACACTGTGTTATGACCCCAAGTTACTAAGAAAATATTGAATTATTTAACCAAGTGGGATAGTGTGATTCATTTGGGAACTATTTTAGTCTCAAATGGTTAAAAATGCACAAATGCCGATGCTTTGGGGGTAAGTCAGCAGGACAGGCTTGTGTGGAATACTTCTTCTTAATAATGCTGAGGAACCCGTGCCGAGGCACTCCTGGGACTTGGCTAAGGGCTGGTGAGAGCTGAGCCCTCTCCCATCATGTCTGCCTTCTGTTCCAGAGCAGCCACTGCCTCCCTTCGGCCTGTAAGACCAGAAGGGAATTGGCTTCTTGAAGGGCACACCCCAGTGACCAGGTCTGAATCGGCCTGACCCAAAACAGCAGGTTTAGGAGGTTTATCTAACGTGGATTTTGACCTTTTTTTCTGGTTTGTTTTTGGGTCTCCAAATCTTAATATAACCTTTAGTAAAGTGTTCTTAAGGAACGTTGAGGAACCACCATGGGACATAGCAAGTACCGCATGTGAGGGTGGAACACAGGTAAATTTGCCAAAAGCTGTTGCCCCAGGATTACTCATCTCAGTTCTTGGTCATTAGTGTTTGTCGAGCACCTACTCTGAGGCAAGTACTATGCTGAGTGCCTCCATGGGTGTTCCTGGCGGCAGCTGTTACCAACGAGAAAACTGAGCTTCAAAGACATTCACTAGCTCACTCAAGCTCACCTAGCCAGGAGCTGATGAGGATGCTAAAGCAGTTATCAAGTGACCAAGTTGTCACGTTCACCCCAGTGTGGGAGCCCCTTCCAACATAAGGGTGAAGAAAACTCAGGAAAATCACAAGGCCAAGCAAGCTAAATAAATATACTTGGTTCCATCACCCTGAAGGGTAGCACCAAGGAGAAAATGGCAGTAATTGGTCAGAGATGTATTTACAGGCACCTGTTTAATGAACACCATCCTAGGGGGTCTGTGTTGAGCTTAGGGAGGGTATAGACCTGGGAGGAGGGCTAGATGGTCACCGAGAACTGCTGGTGACTAGAGGGGCGAGGATTGGAGGAAGATGTAAGGAATGATAAGGGGAAATTCCCAGAACGTTCTGTTCGGGTGGGCAAGTGAAGCTGGGAGTCCAGCCAAAATGAGATAATGTCGAGTGTGAAGGTCATTCTGATACAGGAGACGTGAAGGTGGTGGTGTGATCACAGGCGAGTGTGTTCTCGGCTCAGCTGAGATGACTGGGGTGAGGAGGTGGTCTGCGGGGGTGGGGCTCTCCAGTTGACATGGAGTGAGTTGGCATGTCTTAATCATCATGTTTTATCATAATGACAAATTTGGAAGGCCCGTGGAATGTAAGGTTTTTACTGACATTTTTGTTCTTTGATCCTGTGTCTGCTATCAACGTCCACGTCAGTGTTTCAATTTTAGAATTTGAGAAGTGGGATCACAACCCAGATAAAGCCACATTTAGCTTCCGCCCTGAGACAGAGGATGTCACAAGGACCTATTTAGAGCTGAACTTCGAATTGGAAGAATCTCAGTAATGAACGTCCTGTAGGGTCAGCTCATTAAACCTCCTGGGAGGGAATGGGGGGCGGTGGGAGAGTTATTCCCACTTTTGTGAGACCAGGGATCAGGAAGCCATGATCTATTCAGTGGATTGTTACATGGCCCAGAATAGGGGAAGCCCCCTGAGTGAGGAAGCTTCTGGAGAAAGAGAAATAAGCACAGACATGAGCACTCAACTTTCAGAGGGGCTAGTGCCCCAGGAGCTACTTTGCTGGGTCCTCTGGGTGGAGGTGAATGGTGGGGACCCCTGGTGGTGCCCCTCAGCTCCTCCTCAGCACTTGGGCTCCCGTGACCACTGCCTGTTAAGAGGAGGGGCCCTGGGAGGAACGGCAGCCTTACCCACCCCCACAAGCCCTCACTCTGAATGGACTTGGTGACCTTTCTCCCTGGGCCCCTCCCTTGCCAGACCCTTCCCGGAATCCCGCAGATTCGATTCCACTGGATCCAGAGGCCCCATTCAAGTGTGGGAGTGTAAACCAGCGTCGGCTAGTGTCTTCTTTCTCACCATTCAAGCCGTGCATGGTGATATGTTTGTAGAGCTCTAGGAAGTCGCAGCCAGGCTGGAAGGAGCCCCCATTGGGGTAGAAGTCATAGTGCGCTATGGGCTGTTTGATGCCCACACTCAGGCCCAGGTGCTCCTGCGTGAAGGTGTGAATGGCGTCCACAAAATTGGCATCATCTGGTGAAAGACGGTCGTTGGGGGAGGCGTTTTCAAACAAAGGGCCCGCAGCATCCAGTCCTAACAGGACAGCAAGAGGAAGGGTAAGGTGGGAGCAAGGGGAGGGGAGGAGAAATGCTCTTTTTAGCTTTCTAATGTTATTACACATTCATGAGCTAGCAGGAAGAAGAAAATCCTAGGACATAATCTTTCTCTAGAAAATCTTGCTGTAACCTTTTTGCAGTAAAACCACAGTAATTCATGGTGCTGAAAATTGAGCACAGGCTGGGCATTATCTATAAGGAAAAGAGGTTTGCAGGAACTATCCAGGGGTAGCAATAAGGTTATGAGGGAATGCTTGATTTATTTAAGCAAATCAATTTTAAGCACCTTTCAAGCTACTTTCAAGAGTGTCTGTCTGCGTACCCAAACTCCACTGTGCTTATCGTAAGCACGTGCCATCAAAGAAAGACTTTATTTGCCTACACATTGTCAATAATTTCCCTAAACCAGCTGGTTTCCCCCCTACACTAATGTCATTTCATTGGAAAGTTCAGAACAGCCCTGGGTCATTACTGTTCTTTGGGGAAAATTGTTGTGAGCAAGTAGGATGGTTCACAGCTCTGGTTCTTAAGTGGCAGGTATGTTTGCCTGAGACAAGTGGCAGCTCCTGGCTGACTGTAGTTGGGGAGTATTTATGCATTCAAGGTTTTTTCTCCATCTTTCTTCCTTGACCTTCTCTGGAGGACCTTTTGTTGTCCCACAACAGCCCTGGCTTCCATCCCTGTTGGGGATGAAGGAATTGACAGGGGGCCCTAAGAGTAACTGCTCCCCAGCCCTCACCCGTAGTTACAAATGGAAGATGTCTCGGTGTGATTTACATTCCTTTCTCCATCAGGCTGACTACAAGATGACCGCAGAATAATTAGCTGTCCTGCTGTCTTTGACACGTGTGGGCCTGGATAATAATGCCTATGTGACCACAACACCAGCTGGTGTAGACAGGGTCCTGGGCCCAGTGCTGCCTTTCTGCAATTCTGACTCAGCCTTCTAGGCCTGGTTTGTCCATGATAGGCCTCACTGGGTTTCTATGGAAGGTGTTCATGGGAGGTCTGCTCACCCCCAGGGCTATTGAGTGTTAAATCATGGAGGCCACCAAATACTGGTCTGTGGATCAGGCCTCCTCAGGCACCAGCAAGGGGAAAAAAAAAAGGACCAGAAGATGAAGTCTCATCATGACAAATTTGCTTAGTTCAAATATCTGTCATCATCCCTGTCTTTTTTCAACGTTAAAACAAATCTCTTCTCTTAGGCAAAATAATGGTAATAGTAGATAGTAGTTGCCAAAAATGTTCTTCCTTGATAAAATAGGTCACAGCAATGCTATTCATCTCAAATTTTGTTTGAATTGTTTTAGCTTGTGAAAATTGTTTCAGCTTGTGAAAATTGTTTCTGCCTGCTGAGTCCTGAAGGATGAGTAGGAGTTTGGTAGGTAGACTAGGGCTGGCGGTTGAGTGGTGGTAAGTTATTCCAGGCAGAGGAAACGGTGATTTCAAAGGCCCAGAAGAGCAGGAGACCATGGCGTGTTTGTAGAGTGGAGGCAAGCCTGGTGTCATGGAAGCCTGGAACTGCAGAAAGGGATCAGTAGGCGGAGAAGTTGTAGAGCTCTGGGGACATGATACTGAGGAGGGCTTTGCCTGGCCCTCCTGAGTTTTACCCTGTAGGAGTCAGTGGGCCTCAGGGACTTGGCTGGGGAGCCAAGACATGTCTTTTCTTCTGAATGTAGCTCTGGGAGTGAGGCTAGTGTCGGGGCCGCCTGTCTTCAGCTCTCCTAGGATATCTAGGGCCATTTCCAAGCTGACTTAGAGCTGAGGGCAAGGTTTTTGGTGCAGAGATCCCTCCCTCAAGCCAAATGGGCCCCAGAGTAAGACCCGGGCGTTTCACAAATGCAGAAACTGAGGTACTAACGTGGTTGTTACAGCAAATTCAGGGCTATGATTCTTTAACTCACGTTGGGCTTTGTAAGATATCAGTTGAAAAAGAAACTCCTGCTTCAAAAGTGTATAGAAAGCCTACTTTTTAGGACTGGCATGACTATGAGAGGCATTTGTCTGAGGAAAGGCAACAGGAAGCGAGGCTGTGATTGGCTCTGAATTCGCTTGGAACAGCAGTCAATGACAGTGGTCATGTTTGAAACAATGCTTCGAGTCCTCCGGTGAACTCTAATACAGCTCGAGGGAAGCCCGGGGTGTGTTCGTTATGAGACTGTTGCAAAAGCGGGTCCTCACTCCACGCCCCTGTGTTGTTGTGGAGATTACAGTTAGTTACCAGGCATGGTTACCTGTAATTCTCCCAATCTTGTGCTTTCTGCCCATGTAACTGCCGGCGAATCCTGAGACGTGTGCACCCAGGCTGTACCCAATTAGATGAACATTGCTTGGAGAAAATTGCACAGATTCCTGCAAGACAGTGGTAAGATGGTTGCAGGAGGGAGGGGAACAGCCCCCGGGATAAAAGCCTTTTGGGGTCCAGCTTGTTCTGGGCTCTCTGTTGTCTTTGGGCCTGATCACTAGTGAGGTACTTAATTCCTGCTCAGGACCCAGACTGGTTTCTCACCTGCTGACTCTGTCCTTTCTGCTTTCGTACTTGGTTTCCTGGGACCCTGCCTCCTGCCTCCTGCCTGCCCATCTTCACCTGGACGTTAATGCCCTGCAGATCCCATTCATTCGTGTGAGGGTTCAATGCTTTACAGGGTGTGTTTAGATCCCTTCGCACATCCAAGGAGGTGAGCATAAAAGGAATAGTGGATGGCGTAGCAGGGGAGAGGATTCCACAAACAGGCCTTCATGGGAGGCATCTGAAGGAGCCCTGGGAGTCTGTTCTCTGTCCATTCCTGTGAGCTTAGCACAAGTGGTTCTCCTGTCTGGGTTGCTGTTGGAGATCAGCTCAATTCACTCCGTGTTAGAGGAAGAGAGAGGAAGGGAGAGGAGGTGAGGGATGGGGATGGGGGAAGGCAGTGGGGGTAGGTCTCACCTCCAGCCACTTAAGGAGAGCTGCGATCTCCCGGCCGACCAGGCGAGCGTTGCGGACGGCCACGGTGTAATGGTGGTAGGCCAGGGTCATCCAGTCTGCCATCCCCACGTTCACTGGCTGGACCTGTTGGGACTTCAGTGCAGCCACCATCTGCCAGGTCCAGGTTTCCAGCAAGCCGTCCACCTGTGGGCGGGCCCACAGGGTCATCAGTGTCCCCGGGAGGGTGGAGGGAACACTGTGCTAGCTCCTCTTTCTCCCTGTTTACCTCTTTCCTCCTCCGACTCTTGGCTCATGCTGGATCCTTCTCTTCAAGAGAAAGGGCTTAACACAGGGCTTCCCGACCTCAGCATCGACGACATGTGGGGCTGGGTACGTCTTTGCTGTGGGGGCTGTCCTGTGCACAGTAGGCTGCTTGGCAGCACCTCTGGCCTCCATCCATGAGATACCAGCAGCACCCCCTCTCCCCTGCATCGAGTTGTGAAAACCAAAAATGTCTCCGGACTTTCCACATGTCCCCTGGGGGATAAGCCCAGCTCTCAAATGAGAACCATTGTCATAAAGTTTCCCTGTTTTAGGACTTTCTAAGCCTTAAGACAATGAAAAAGTCTGTAGATCAGGTGCTGAAAGCCAGTCTATCCTTTGAGGGTGAGCTCCAGCTCACCTCCTCTGGGAAGCCTGCTCTCCCCAACATGGGAATCCCGACTCGCTCGCTCTCCTCTCATCCACCGTGTTCTGCTTGCTTTAGAGGGACTAGCCCTGTGAGCTGGAACATAGTAGGAGCTCAGCAAGTGTTTATGCAGAATTGTTCTGTGTATATACCTTGTTTCAGTACCAGTTTGCAGGGCACTCCTGCAAAGACACATGTGCTGTGTCTTAAAGGATGAATAGGAGTTCACTGAGACGTATCAAGGTGGGCATGTGAAAGTGGGGGCTGGGGTGTGGTCAGGGGAGGTCCGGGCAGAAGGAAGAGCACGTGCAGAGGTGCAGAGTCACAGAAAGGCAGTGTGGTGTGTCTGTCTGGGGAGAGGAGAAAAGTCTGACGTGGCTGATGACTAGACTGCGGAGGTGGGGCTGGACAGCGTGGTTTGACATATGATTCCAGGGTAAGATGCGTTCATATAATAAGTGTTTATCCAGTGCCTTCTATGTGGAGGGGGCACGTTTGGTTCAAATCCAGACTGTCCTAGTTACCAGCTGAGTGACCTTGGGCGAGTTATTTAACTTTTCAGTGCCCCAGTTCCTTGTTTGGAAAATGGGGATAATAATAGTGCCCTCTTTCCAGGATTGTTGTGAAGACGAAATGAGTTAATCAATGCAAAGCACTTAGAACAGTGCCTGCGACATAGTAAGGACTCAGTAAATGTTAGTTCCTGCAGCTGCTGTGATTATTATTATTACTAGCAGTGGTAGGTGTATTCCAGTCTGGATGGATTTTGAGAACAAAGAACTCATTCTGGTAAAAGGATCCTGGTAAAAGGACCCTGCTGTCTTCCTGTTTGTAAACAAGATGTTTAGTCAGCCATTGATTCAGTTGACAAATATTTTTTAGCACCAAATATATAATGGATACTGTCCAGCAGGAGAAGAGGGGGAGGACACTCCAGGCAGAAGGCACAGCCTGAGCCAATGCTTCTGGGAAGGTAACCCCCCCAAAACACACATATACCAAGTCAAGAGGAGAGGAGTCATATGGATGGGGAAGGAGCTCGAGCAGAGGTGAGGGGAGGCGGGGTCAGGCAGGGGAGTGCCTGCTCTGCAGTATGAGGACCTCCTTACCCGGAGGCTCTCAGCTCCAGTCCCTACCCCGAGTCAGGTGCCAAGTCCACAGCTCTGCTCTCCCCAAAGCTCTGCCCCAAAAGTGTTCCCTCCTTGCCTGTTTCTTTTCTCTTTTTCTCTTGTAAGGGAAGGTCCCTTTGGCTAAAGCAGCTGAGGAGAGGGGAAGTTCTTCCCTGACAGCGACTGGCCTTCTAACCCATGCCTCACCCGCCCCACTCCCATGGGAGAGCTTTCCCTGTCTGATCCTCAGTTCCCTTAAAAACAGGCTTCATCTCAGGGTTCTGCCCTCTGCCTCCTAGTCCATGTTTTTCTTAAAGAAACAGAGACGGAGCTCCTGGCCCAGCTGGAAAGAGCTACAGTGAGGAGATTGCCATGTGAAGCCTGTTGGGTGATGGGCCCCCTGTCAAACCTGTCCTTGACAAAGGCTCCCTGTGGTGGGCTCTTTGAGAATGTGGCTTTGGAGCACGAGGGTTCTGGTCTTGGATTTCTGCCCAGTGAGAACTGTGTAACTGTGGTTGCTGCTTGACTTCTCTGAGCTGCCATGTCGGGGGTGTGTAGGGATTCAATGGGCTGATGTCTAGTGTAAAGGGCCTAGCTCCTGCAGGGCCGCATCTATGTTAGGTCCCATCTGGAGATCCCCCCCACCCCCACTGCCTTCACTGCCAACTCTGTGGTGTGGTGGAACCTGTGACCTCCCTGGGATGGGGGCCTTTTAAATACTAGAGGGAGGCTGCTGGTGGCTGCAGAGCCTCCGTGCTTTTCTGGGATGGGAATAGCGGGCCCCCACCTCGTGGCTACACCCACGTGACATCATGTGGCTCCCCACTACCCCACGAGGCCAAGCACAGGGTCTGTTTTGTTTGTGTGGAGGGTAGGAGCCTGCACGTAGCAAGCTCTTAGTACACAGCTGTTGAAAGAGTGGTGGTGGGGCAGGTGGGCTCGATTTGCCCTGTAGGGAAGGATAGATGGGGGGTTTCAAGAGTATTTTTCAGCTAAATGGCAGGGAAAGGTTTTTAAGTCATGAAATAGACCCCAGGTTTCTAGAGGTTTCAAATTGCGAACCAAGCTTCAAATGGTGGGGGGGCTGGAAACCAGTAAGGCAGAATTTCCTCTTGGAAACATGTCTGACTTCAATCACTGTCCACAATATTCTTTCCCCACTCCTGCCACAGTAACAGATTTTAGCATCACTAAAAAGCTACACTTTCTCCAAGAGGCTACATACTCAGCCACCTTTCCATCTAGGTATGGCCAATGGATGTAGTTAGAAGCATTCACAGATGCTTCTTGGAAGGTAACCCCCCAAAACACACATATACCAAAAGTCATTGAATTGTACACTTTAAATAGATGAATTGTATGGTATGTGAATTATCTTTCAAAGTTGTTTTTAAAATATTCCCTGCTTTTTGACTTTTTTGTGTACACCTTCTACTGCCTTGTGCTACCTGGAATACAGATGTGATGGCTAGTGCTCTAGCTGCCATCTTGGGTTGTGGGATGAGGGCCACACTCTAAGTATTGAGCAGGAAATGAGCTGGGTCCTTGAGGAACTTCATTGACCAAAGCTGTTTATTCAGTTTTGGATTACATGTCTCTGGACTGTGTGTGAAATGGAAATAAACTTCTGTTTTATTTGAACCACTGCCAATTTGCAGCTGAATTTAACCCTTACAGAGACAACATTTCATTGGGAGACTATGTCTTCCAGCTTCCTACCTCCTCTTGTGAAACATGCAGATTCACCCACATGAACTGCCATCTCTTATGGGCATTTATGTGCTGTTTGACCTATTTGAGCCACATTTTATTACTTGAAATGTGGAGATAATTATACTTTCCCTGCCCTGCTTACTCATGGAATTGAGATAATCAATGAGATAATGTGTGGGGAAGCACTTGGAAAATTAGAGTATGCTTTACAAATATTATGCAAGAAGTTGTTATCACCAGCTCCCTATCTTTTTATTAAAATTGAACACACTAGGGAGGAAATAAAAGAAAACATAAAAGGAGAGGGAAAAGGCGTGTCAGCATTTCCTACCGACCACCCGTGGATTATCATCACCAGGGGCAACGAGGAGTTGAAGGCGCACTGCTGTAACGTGTCTGGGTGGTTGAGCCGAATCTGACAGCCCTTATCAGTTTTGTCCTTAAAGAGCAGGAATCTTGTTTCTGTTTCCTGTGATGTTTCGTTTGTTTCAACCGCTTGAGATCCTCTTCCAAATGGCTCTGGAATATAAGATTGGGGATGGTGCTTAACCTGGCATCTATTCCATCTCTGCTGGCTCTGGGACATCCCAAAGGTTTCTAAGAGCATTAGATAATGGGGTTACTGTGAGGTGGTGGAGGTGAGCTGCAGCTTTGGGAAGCCCTAAAGAGCATTTCCAATGGAATGGTCATTTCTCTCTTGGAAAATGATGGAGGGTGACCTAGGAGGACCCAACAAAGAGGTGCAGGGGGCCAGATTCTCCATAATGCCATCCTGGAGACTAGGACCAGCCAGTCAGATACTAGAGTAACTCTAGGACAGTGGGAATATGGGAGAAGCAAGTGGGACTACAGTTCAGGGAGGATAATCATTTCATCCAAAATCACACTGCCAATAAGTGGTAGCATTTGAACCTGGTGTTTCTGACTCCAGTTCCCTATATCCCAATGCTAGGGAGACAGCACATAAAACATCTTAGTTAAATGACACTGTGCACACTCTCGTGTGTCTCAACCAGTTCTCACTCACAGACACATTGTATCATGTGGCCTTGCACAGACCAGGTAGGGCTGTGGTAGGGAGGGTTGCAAGGGGAGTGGTGACTTTTGCTTGATGGGGAGCGGCATTCAGGGAGGACTTCTCAGGGACAGTGATGCTGATGCTGCCCTTGAAGGGCTTGTGTGTATGCGTGGGTGGGCGAGCTGAGGGAACAGCTGGGTAAAGGCTCAGAGGTTTGGGATGCTGCAGGTGTTAGGAGGCAGAAGCCTGGGCAGCCAGAGTGTGGGGGCTCTGGGATGCTGAGGAGTCTGGACGTCTTGCTCTTGATTATAAGTTGCTGCTAAGGAGTTTTTCAGCAAAAAAGCCAAATGAATACCTATTAGGAATCTTTCAAAGATCGGAAGAGGATGGGATAAGAAGAAAAACATTGTTTTTAAGAATTCACCTTGTATTGTTTCCCTGAAAGTCCTTCTAGCCTCTGTTTTGGGGGAGCCTCATCCTGACTCTGAGCCACTTTGTGGAGTGTGGACAGTCACCCGACTCTGCAAAGCAGCCCAACAGCGGTCAAGACCGTGGTGTCAGCCAAAGACATACCTTTCTGGTCAGGGGTGGGGGAGGCCTGAGGAGGTGCCATGTTCCTGGGTGGTGGCACCCCAACGTGGGTGACATCCTCTCTGCCAAGATTAGGAATCAGGCCAAGAACTGGGGGGTGGGGTGCTCTCCCCATCCCTTCCAGCCAAGGGTGGGCTCCCCTGTGGCTGAGGGGCAGGCTCATGGCCGTACCAGCATTTTAAGTCAGTAAATGCAGTTCAGCCCAATTACTAAGAACCCTGATCTTCCTTTCTGAGCATAAAGTCATTCAGGCTTCTCAAACATAAGTCTTGGGCTTTTAGTTTCAGGGGACAGCAGGACAGAGAGATGATGAACCTACAAAGTCCAAGGGGAGGTATTAATGAAACCAATTTTCCTACCCAAAGGTTATTAATTCGAAAGGTTATTAATTCCCAGGAAAGGGCAATGATTTTTCACTATGATGACAGAATGAAATGCATCATATTTTATTTAAAGGAGATGTGAACTAGACTCTGAGTAACTTCTCTGAGATAATGAAGAAGATATCTGGCGCCCAGTTTGGCTTTCCCAAGCTTAGAGACTGTCTGAGCTTGTCTTTGGTCCCCGCAAGCATGCTCCAGACTGCTCCCCATCTCATGGCAAGCACTGCCTCCCTGGTCTCTAAATCAGGAGCTGGGGTGTCATCTTACGCTCTTTTACCAGCTGCCCAATCAGCCCAAAGCTTCAGGTTCCCAAATATCCCCGAACCCAGTGCCCTCGTCCAGGTGCACACTGTTTCTTGTTTGGTTTACTGGCACGGCCTCCTAAGTGGTCTCACTCTGTTTAGTCTCACCACCCTCCCTCATGCTGCTGCCCGAAGAATCTTCCTTGAACAGAAATGACTATTATATAACTTTTATACTTGCTAGTGGCTTCTTAGTATTGCAGCCAAGGCCACCACCTAAATGATAACCCCTCACCCCTCTGCTCCCCTCTCTACGTTCCTCGCTACCCCAGGCTGCCACTAGCTCCTCCCAGAGCCATTTCGCATCCCTGCACCTTTGCACTGTTGCTTCTCTCTCTGCTGCTCCCCGGGAATGCTGGTCCATTTATTAAAGCAGAACTCAAGACATCACCCCCTCCAGGAAGCCTTCTCCTCTTGCTGCCAGCACCATATTGGGGCTCTTATTTGTCTGGGTGTGTGGTATGTCCTCCACCAGGCTGTGAACTTGTGGCAGGCAGAGCTGGTGGACGCTTAATTAGTGTTCGGTGAGCGATGTGGTGTTCTGTGGGATCTGGTCTCAGAGCAAAGGCTAACATTTGAATTGTCAGCCATTTATATATTGGAACTCTATGTAACTAATTTTCTTTTATTCAGTGACTGAATAGCTACATCTTCCTTCATTTCAGGATACCTGACTTGAATGCTGAAAGGACCATGTGAAAATAAAACAGGGATAGATCTAATACTCATCTTATGAAGTTGTGACAAGGGTTAAAAAAATGGCATTTGTAGAGAGCTCAGAACAATGCCTGGCATATAATTAGCACCAATGTAAAGTGTGTGGCCAAAATAAGTACTAATTGGAGCATCCAGCATCTTGCATTAAAAAAATTTTTTTTATTGACATGTAGTTGATTTACAATGTTAGTTTCAGGTGTACAGCAAAGTGATTCAGTTATACATATACATGCATATATATATATATGTGTATATATATATTTTCTTTTCAGATTCTTTCCATTATGTTATTACAAGAAATTAAATATAGCTCCCTGTGCTATACAGTAGGTCCTTGTTGTTTATCTGTTTTATGCATATTAATGTGTACTGATTAATCTCCAACCCCCAATTTATCCCTCCCTGCCCTTTCCCCTTTGGTGACCAGGCATCTTGCATTTTTGATCTGTGAAATCATTTCTTTCTGTGAAAATTTATCCCAGCTGCCCTCAGAGGACCAATTCTGTCTTCTGTGTATTTACTCTGGATTTAGCTGGGAGAATCAGCTCTGGCCCCATTGCCGGGGGCCTTAAGGATGTTCAGGACAGTTGTCAGATGGAAAGGTTCACAAACAGCTGGACTGACCTGGGCTCTCCCTTTTCTTCCTGGGCCATGTGTGTGAGTGAGGAAGTTCATTCATTCATTCATGTCCTCAACAAATACTTATTGAGCACATTTTACTATCTTGTGCTCTGCACCCTGGCTGGGTACTAGGTAGAGGCAAACAGGGCCTGACCTCTATGTTTCAGGAGTTCCCAGTCCAGTGGGAGAGCAAGCATGGGAATCAGCCCTTGCATGTGGCTGCTGTGAGCGCAGCAGTGGAGAGACTGGAAGGACGAAAGATTCTTTAGAAGCTCACAACTAGGAGAAATTGTTCAAGGAGGTGGAGCTCTAGTGCCTAAAATAGTAAGGTTTAGTGGATTTGTTGTGGGAAGAGGGCCTAGAATTCTTTTGGGCAATTTCAGGAGATAGAAACAGAGTCAGAAAAATTTTGACTTTAAGTGGTTTGTGAAAATTCATAGTTGAAGAAATTGGGACAAAGAGAAAATAAAGGGAGTGAAACAACAAAGACAGAAATGTTGATAGATTAGCACCCTGAAATTCACACTCTGGGATTATACAAGGTTGCAGAAGATGTGCCACAGATTTGGTTCTGAGCTTCCTACCGGCCAAGTCAAAGAGGGAAATAGGAGCAGTTACAGGATTCATGGCATCCAGTTGCTCCCTTTTTTCCTGGTCCTGAAGCCTGAAATGGTTTCCCTGTGGGTTATTGTAAAAAGAGGCCACTGTGTGAGGCAGTGGTCATTGTCTTGAACACCATTCCTATGAAATATACAGTAGTAAGTTCTATGTGGTTGACTCAGAGTGCTCTGTAGTCCTCAATGGAAGCAGCACCCACAGCACCAAACATCACTGAAGTCACAGTGAGTCTTCACTATAATCCAACAGCAGTCTTGTGACTGCAGGAGGCAGGGGCTGCTTCAGGTCACATTTCGGGAGGAAGGAGTAGGGCTCCAGAGCCCGAGTGTCTGAGCCTCTGTGGGAGCAAAGTCTGATTGTCTCCTTTGTGCAACACACAGAATACTGGAGCATCCTCGTGCAAGCCCTGGCTTCAGGGATACACGATTGTGACTCAAACCCTAAAGTATAGCAAAATCTCTTCTCTAAGCTTTAGCCCTGCACTTAGCCAGCTCTGGACTGGGCTTCTCTACCTGGGTCCACTTTTGACACTATAAACCCAAGGAGGACAAACTGAGTTTATTTTCTTGCCTCCCCACCTATTCTTCTTCCTTTCTTTCTACATTTCCTACTGTGGTTCGTGACACCATCATTTGTCTATGCTGTTGCTCAAGCTAGAAAGTTTTAGGGCTGTCTGGAATGTCCTCTCTGTCTCCTGGGTGACCCGCCAGGTTCATCAAATGCTGAGGACTCAGCTTCAAGATTATCTTCTCTGCTCCCTGCCACCAGACTAGTCTAGGAACTTACATTGTTTTAGTTTTAGTTGTAGTATTATAGTGGACTCTTAACTGTTTCATATTTTGTCTATATGTAGAATTAATACAATCTGCAAAATTCTGAAGTGAATAAAGAATCTCCCTACTCAGAAAGCCACACAAACAATACCTGGAATATTTTCTTCCAGTCTTTTCTTATGGAAATGTTTGTTCCATAAATGTTTATTTGGAGTGTCTGTAACTAAGATCAAGGGGGAGGGTGTAGCTCAAGTGGGTAGAGCGCATGCTTAGCACGCATGAGGCCCTGGGTTCAATCCCCAGTACCTCCTCTAAAAATAAATAAACCTAATTACCTCCCTCCTCCCCCTCAAAAAAAAAAAACTAAACTAAAAAAAAATCATATGTGAATGGTTTATAGCCCTCTTAACCTGTCATGATAATTTCCTTATAACATTAAAAATTCTTCAAAAACATGCTTTTGAAAACTAGTGAAGTTTATTTCTTTATTGTTGGA